AGTGTGGTTGATTACTAAGGACAGACAGGTGAGTGTGGTTGATTACTAAGGACAGACAGGTGAGTGTGGTTGATTACTAAGGACAGACAGGTGAGTGTGGTTGATTACTAAGGACAGACAGGTGAGTGTGGTTGATTACTAAGGACAGACAGGTGAGTGTGGTTGATTACTAAGGACAGACAGGTGAGTGTGGTTGACAGGAAACAGACTGAGGAGACATGAGAAGTAATGACACAAGAGGGAGACAGCCGACAGGACACAGATCCCTACACACGTCTCCTTACACAAACTAAACATCAAAACTAAAGTTGCTGCCATCTCCTGTTGGTTCTTATCAGCCTGCTTTGATTTAATGAACTATTTCCAGTAGCCTCATTCTTAATGTCCTACATRATCTTTACTCTTGTTTGGGTGTTTAAACCTAATGTAGACACAGATTACACAGAACAGACACCACAGTTATTTCTTTATTTTGATCCACGTGTTCAGATCCAGGTCTGTTCATCCCAACTGTTATAACACAACATTCAAACAAACCCTCTTTCAGCAGTCGCTGGTAAATAGATGAAACTCATGAATGTTTGATTTTCAACTTTGTTTTGTAATCTCCACTTGGCACAGTGCACCTGTGAGTTTGCAGGTTTTTCCTCATGTAAACATGTTTTATGTCACTAAACTTTCTAATCTGAACTCAGTCAGAAATGATGCAAACATGAGGTAATGCTTCTGCAGAGAACATGTATTTATTACTGAGATATTAATTTGAATCATAAACATTAGACGTGTCAAAATGTCTTCCAGAAGTGACATCATCGAGGCTTGACGTCCTCCTGGAAGTGACATCATCTGTCAGTGTCAGGAAACGAGGACTCAGTTACGGGTTTCTGCCACAGATAAAAGGATTCATCTGGCTGCATCTTATATCGTTGACATAATCCCTTCCTGTAAAACAAAGCAGCAACATTAAAACATCTTAATGTTTTTATTCTGCAGAATGTTAAAGAGAAACGTAATCAGGAAGCAAAAACTTAGAATGTCCAACAACATGCAGTGACATCAGTTTGTTTKTGAAACCACAATTAAAACCAAACAAGTTGCAGAATGATGAATTAAACAAATGAAAACCTATAAAAACATATAGTTTTACTAAACAATGGCCAGGAGTGTCTAATCCTGGTCCTCAAGGTCTGCTGTCCTGCAGGTTTTAGAGGTTTCTCTGTTCCAGAACACCTGCAGAGCTCGAAGAGGTAAATCAGTCACAACCAGGTGTGTTGGACCAGAGAAACCTCTAAAACCTGCAGGACAGTGGACCGTAAGGACCAGGACTGGACACCCTTGTTCTACACAGACCTGGGTTTGGTCTGTGTGGAGTTTACATGTTGTCAAGAAAAAGTGAACAAGTTAAAAAAAATGTGCAATTTMTTGTAAAATAAAAAAGCTGAAATCAGCTGAATGGTAGCTGAAAAAGCTGATCTAGTACAAAGAAGCAAAAAGAGTAAGTTTGCTGAATTAAACAGTAAAAAACCTGAAATTATCATAAAAACTGAATTTAGCTGAAAAAAAAACTAAAATTAGCAGTTAATTACAAGAAGTAGCTTAAAAGGCAGAAAAACTGAAATTAACAGAAAGCAGCTAGAAGAAACAAAAAAGGCTAAAATTAACAGAAAAAGCTGATAGAATCACAAAAAGGTTAAAATTAGCAGAAGAACAGCTGAAAATATAAAAAGGATAGCTAAAAAGAGCTCAAATTAGCAAAAATAATGCTGAAGGAAGTTTGAATTAGCCCAAAGAATAACAAAATAATCTGAAACAAAACCTAAAAATTTCATTTTTTTAAAATAAGTCATGTTTTTACCATTCAGGTTGATCTCCATGCAGTGCTCATTTCCACCACTGTTGCTTGGTTCTCCTGAGCCCCAGAAACTGAATTTTTCATCGAACATTGATGCGTCACTCCACAACCATTTGCCGTTCTGTTAGAGAACGGTTTTTAAAGTCAGTGTACTTCTTGCTTTTTATGACATTAATGCAGACTCTTTGTTTTTCGACCAACCAATAAAACTCTACAATGTAACTGTCAAAAAAGTTTGTTACTTAGTCCTCATGACTGGTAATGAGCAAAGGACTCTAAATGAACGTAAAATAATC